GATAGCTGCTGGAATGGCTCTATAGCCGGCGGATCGCTTGTATATTAACGGGCATCGCTGCCTCTTTTCAAATAGAGGGGATTTCCCGCTCGCGTGCGCCACGCGGCGCGCCCGAGGGGGCGGATGTAACAGGACGTGTATACACGCCCAGTTACATCTAAGAAGCTCCCGGCAGGCCGTGTATACACAGCGGCTGGCCGGGAGGTAGTTAAGCACCATAGGAAGTTGTCCTTTCCAGTCCAGCGGCCAGGATCCTATCTTTGCAGTGGAGGTGATAAGTACCAGCTTGCTACAGCTCTAATGGCACAGAGACTTTTTAGCGTTTACAGTTAATGTGTTTTTAAGTTAACGAATGATGATTTAAGACAAGGTGTTAAACTTGGGTGCTGCGGTGCACTGCTACATGAAAGGTGCTTTCAGCTACCGGATGCTGCACTTCTTACAGGTTTACTTTTAAAAAGTAACTCCAGTTTAAATGGTGATGTATATCTTGCATGGATTGAAAAAGCTTTCAAACCTCCTAATATAATTGGGTGTGAAATATTTTTGGTTTCCTGACTAGCAATTCTGATATGCCGATTGTCAGCTCTCTGACATCCTGACAGATTTAATGTCTCTTCTGCCCTGTCTGTGTTATGATGAGTGACGGCAGCCAGCTTCCTCACAATAGAGAGCAGGGAATCCTGAATTAATGTTTAACATTGGCAGCATCCCTGTTACACAGAACACTTTCACTAATATCTGTTGCCCAATTGAAGTTAGATGTAAAATTTATGATCTAAACCCTTGGTTCTCAACTGGTGGGTCACGATACCAAAGTGGGTCGCGACCTCATGTTCAGTGGGTCGCCGTGTGCCTTCTATGCTAGGTGACCACCTCCTGTCAGTTCTCTCGCCAACCAGCCATTCAAAATCTGTTCGCCGGTGCAGAGTGTCAGCTTGAGGTGGGATGGACTGGGGCTATGGCCGTGAGGGAGCTCCAGCCATACGTACCACTCGTTTGCGTACCCTGTAGAGGTGCCTGGACCGTAGTGACGTCACATTCTGGCTCCCGGCACCTCTACAGGGCGTGCAAGGGAGCTGTACAAGCAATGCACATATAGATGGAGCTCTGTCATAGCACAGCAGCCCACACTGGACCCCAGCCTGGGGATCCACTCCAGTTCTCCCAAGGTATGGAGACTAGGTGGATCTTTTGAATGGCATCCCAAACGCACCTCCCACCCACAGTTCGATCGTTCCATTGCAGTGCGACTTGGGTCACCACTCAATGACCAAGGACAAATGTGGGTCCTGAGGTTACACAGGTTGAGAACCACTGATCTAAACTGAGTGTTTAGTAATGCATACATTTCTAAAGGTCTTACTGTTGTGTGGGATGTATTTGAGCTCAGTTTCCCGCATAAACTTTGGGGCCCCAAGAAGCGGACTGCAGAGGAGGAAGGCTGCTCTCCCTGTGAAAGTATTGCACTCTCTGTAGTGGTATGACCGGCTCTTGCTTTAATTCAGCGTAGGGTGTTGGACCGCTGCAGAGAGTCTGCTGCTTCACACGGAGAGCAGTGGTCCTTTCTTTCCCCCTGGGGCTCAAACATTTGTTGGTATTGGAACTTAGTGACCACTGTGCTGTGCCCATTAACAGACTTTGACCCTCCCAGAAGTGTCAGAGGCCTGTGCCTACCCCTGCTGCTGCAGTTCCATTCACCAGCCTACACCACTACTGGATAAAGCAGCAGCAAATGGGATAAAGACACTGGCATCAGAGAATCCCAAGATTATCGCATGCTTAAAAGTCTGGTGTAGGCTGCGGCCCAAGAACAGAGATAGTAGGAGATATGGGCAGCCGGGGAGGTGAGTGTAACAGCTCTTCTATTGCAGTGAACAGTCATTTCAGTTCTTTTCCATGACTGATGCTTGCATTAAATGCATCTCTCACAACAGTCTGACTCTTACAAATGTATGTTTTACAGCACTCTTTGTAAATCACTTTACATATAACTTCACTTGGGCTTTAACCCCTTCATGACTGAGGCCTTTTTTTCATTTTTTTGTACCCATGTTATATTCCACATTGCAACTGAGCCCGGGAAGCACGGCGGGGGTGTCCGGCGGGGGATGGGGGGCCCCTTCTTCGGGACGCAGAAGCGATCTGGCGACAGGTACAAGTTTAAACAGAGTCCCGGCGTCAACCAAGTCACCGGGTGTCTGTTTAAACAGCCCCGATGCTGGCGACGTACACTGTACGTCGTCAGTCACGAAGGGGTTAAAGATAACCTGTCGAGAGAGACACATTGAGGCTCTAATTGCTAACTACTACTTGTAAAACTGCTACCGTGGCCTTCTTGCTTACATATGTTGAGTCACTGACCTGGAACAATTCTGCTTTACTCATCTGCTTACTTGTTCCAGATCTGTCATTCAGAAAATATCGAAGCCAGTGTGTTGACATAATAGCCAGGCAACTATCACTTTCAGAAAAAGTTTGACATGTGGCTGAACTTGACCCTCCATTGATATATCTGTTTATGTTCAGCCACTGGAATTAACCACCTGCTGTCCGGCCGTTGTAACTAAATGGCCGAACAGCGGCTTTTTGAATGCGGATGGGCGTTTTTAAACGCCCCATCCCGCCCCGCTCGAGCCCGCAACTAGTCGGCGGGCACGAATGGGAAATCGCCTTTGAATGTAAACAGCCAGCGATGGCTGTTTACATACAAGCGTTCAGGCGTCTGGAGACTCCCGATCGCTTGTAATGTGCGGGTGTGTGGCCCCTCCGTCGCAGCCGCTGCTGGCGATCCCAAGCTCCGCTGTTCCCGGTGTGAGGCCGGGACCAGCACAGCAGCTCTTCGGCCGGAGATCAGTACACGATCTCCTCGTCGGAATGCAGGAAGTGATGTGTATTACATTTAGGGATGTCCCGATACCGATGCTAGTACCGGTATCGGGGCAGATACAGGGCATTTTCAGGAGTACTTGTACTCCTGAAAATGCCCCGATGCCTAGATCAGATACCGGCCGTTTATTTTTTTAACTAGCTTCGGCCATTGACCCCCATAGCCCCTCCCCCGGAATACCTCTCCACCAAACGAGGCTCCATCTCCGCTCTGACCTCTCCGGAAGTGTGACAGCATGGCGGGGGTAAGTGTTGTGTGGGACAGTCTCTTCTCCCTGCTGGTGTTGGCTGCAGAGCTCGGTGTCCCTTTCACAGACCTCTGTAGCCAGCATGAGAAGGCAGAAGAGACTGCAGCTGTGATTCCCCCGCTGCCCCCCTCCCCCCTGTATGCTCCTCCGTGTCCCGTCCTTTTCAACTTTATGAATCGGTTTCCTTTTGGTGATATATCTCAGTGTGAGATGCCCGTGCTACTTGCTGCACAGCAGTTTTCATCAATTGTAAGAAGAGAATGTCTGTTCAGTGTGCTCACGGGGGGAGCTGGTTCTTCAGTGAAGTAGAAAGGTGACACTAGAGGTCTAAAAGACCCCTAATGTCACCTTTTAAAGAGAACCTGTCACCTCCAATGCACGCAGCACTGTGAGTAACTGCCCTAAAATCATTAGTCTGTATTGTTTTATAAAAAATGTCACATGTCCCTTTAAGAAAAAGTATCGGTAATTGGTATCGGCAAGTACATGAGGGACAGTACTTGTACTTGGTCTTGAAAAAGTGGTATCGGGACATCCCTAGTTACATCACTTCCGCATTCCTCTGTCACTCTCCGGTTCAGAAACCAGAGAGAAGCTGGTGAAGCAGTTCTCTGCTTAATCAGCTTCTCTGAGGGTCCCTAGGTGACATTAAACCCCTAATGACCCCTGATGTCTCTATAAAGAGGACCTGTCACTGCAAATTGGCTATCACATAGGGAGCTTGTTTGCTCCCTATGTGATAGCAATAAAGTTAAGTGGAAAAAAAAAAGGTTTAAGAAAAATTTTAAGTAGCAAAAAAAAATTGTCATATCAAAGCAATACTAAAAAAAAAAATTAAAGTCCCCCGTCCCCACATGCACACGCAAACATGCCTCGAGTCCGCCTACGTGCGAAAACGATTACATCCATTGCACCGCACATGTTACATATCGACGCGAACGTCTGAGGGAGAACAATAATTCTAGGGCCATTAATCACTGATAACACTAAACTGATGAGCGGTAAAACCTTTTAAAGCGTCGGCTATGGTCAATTTTGGGTAAAGTAGTTTTATGCGATTTAGCGCGTGTGCGCCATTTTAAAGCTTGGCATGTTTGGTGTCTATTTACTCGCCGTGACCCCGTCTTTTATATTTTACCAAAAAATTGGGTAAGAAATGTTTTATAACATAACGTAGGGAGAACAGGTTTGTTTTAAAAATTTTCGGTACTTTTTTCATTATATACCGTAGTTAAAAAAAAAAAAGTATTGGTGATTACATACCACCAAAAGAAAGCTCTATCTGTCCCCAAATATTTTTTATAAAACTCATTTCAGTACAGCGTTGCATGACGGAATAAATGTCAGTCAAAGTACTGCAGCGCTGAATACTGAAAAATGGCCTGGACAGGAAGGGGGTATAAACACCCCGGTCAGCAAGTGGTAAAGTCAAATACCAGGTAATCCCATTCCTCCCATGTGACAGAGCTGTTCCTTGCAAAGTGCCTTCTCAGGCTAACAGCACTGTCACGTGATTTTACAAGTCTTGGAACCCTCATCCTGACTCCAAGTTTAAACTTGGAGCTTACACTGGGCTTCCTCTGTGTTTTTTTTTTTTTTTTTTTTTTTATTTTTCTTGGTTGCCGAACAAACGGAGCAGTGGGGAAGCAAAAGGAAGGCAAGTATGGGGGAACATGGTGCAGGTAATATGGAAGAGGTGTCAAGAGAAACTTTGGCTTTATGGGATTCTTTTTGTCAGCCTTTTGCTTTGTCCTGCAAAGCAAAGATTTAATTAAAAGCCTGTTGTATTTGATTAGTTAGGTAATCACTGCCTGTGATCAATATGTCCATTACATTAATTGTTTGTTTTTATTTTCATTACAGATATACTATATAATTTGTCAAAAGACTGGATTATATCAAGTAAGAGGCTATCAACACTCATATCGTTTTATTTTGTGTATATTTTACATAAAGTGTATCTAAACCGAAGAACAAAAATTTTTACCAGTCCTTGGATGTGGTAGCTGAATTAGATATTTTTTTTTTTTTCTCACAGGATTTTGTAACTTTCACCTGCTAATTCTGCCAATAACATATTTCCTGTCCTAGAGCAACAATGCTTGCCATACTGTGTCTATGGAGGAGCAGCATTGTCACCCTAAAGGTGCCCATACACCTTACCATTATCGGACGATTTTCGTATGCGATCGACTTTTCGTACGATAATCGTATGTGTGCATTGCAGTGTCCGACCGACATTACTGTACAATCGTACGACTTTTGACGGTCAAGCATGTTTGAAAACTTTGCTAGATCGTACGATTTTCGTAAGGTTACTGGCGGTTTCGCCCGTCAAGTCGTACGATCTACACTGCGCTTGCGCTAACGAAAATACGGCAAATCAATTACCGCAATTCGTCCAGGTGCTTTTCTTTAATTACGGCTAAATCTTGCGATCATCGGGTCAGGATGGGGCTGTAATACGAAAATCGTACGACCATTCGATCATCGGACGAAAAGTTTCGTCTGATCGTAAAGTGTATGGGCACCTTAAGACAGGATTACAGAACCCCCTCCCCTTTTCTACTGTACAACGTGTGTATTGTAGCCCACATAGATGGCTGTGAACAATGAAAATTATAAGAGTGCTCACACAATTTCTGCCAAGATCAACTGGTACTTTTTTTTTTATTTTTTTTTCTCCGAACAGATCTTGCAAAACACATTAATGGCATATTTCAAGACAAATTCCAGCAAAATTGAAAGTTTTCACTAGCAGTTGAGCTGCCTGTGCACTGCAAGAGTTAACTGCTCAATTATGCCTTGAGGGACATGAAAATGTTTTACTTGCCTGATCTCCACTCCCTCCGGCCTGCTAGACTGGTCACTGCAGCCTCTCTTCCCCCCCTTCACTCTGGTGGTCTAAGGATCACTGATGTTATCAAGTACAATGCAGGATCCAGGGTCTTGTATTGTATGTGAGGACTTAGAGGGTAAAATTATAGACTTGTCCCTGCAATACATCCCCTTTTTAATACAGGACAAGACCCTGCTAGCTTTGTTTACAGCAGCCTGGCACTGCAAACTACCTTTCAGTTTGTGGTCTACAATGACCCCCAAATCCTTCTCCATTTCTGACTTCCCTAGCGGCATACCCATAATTGTATAACCCATTTGTTTATTTTGGACAGAAGAAGAGAGCAGGAACAGGTAAGTAAAACAGCTCTTTTCTGTCCCCTAGGCACGAAAGAGCAGTTAGCCCTTGCAGTGTGAGCACGGGGAAAATTTATATTGCTAGAGTTGGGCTTTAAGAGCCCAAATTGGGCCAAATAAGGACTTTATGGTTTACATACACTTTAAAGCAGACTTTGCTGTAAAGTGCAAGGTGTGCTTCCTTGTTAGACCCATTTAAAAATGCCATATACATATTAAACACACACACACACACCTGAGGAGAATAATAACATAAATATACTTGCTTTACATCCAGGGCTTCTCTCCTCTTGTGCATAAAGTTGGCCATACACCTTAAAATTATCTGCAGATTTTCTATGGTCAGATGGAAAAGGTGCAACAGATTCCTCCATCTACACGTATCTGGGTGGATGTATGAATCTCCCACTGGGCCAAGCTTTAGTATCTTGCTAGTCGGCCCCACTGGCTGTCAAAATACCTGAACAATCTGATTGGATGCAGGCATTGTTCAGGTGTTTTGAGAGCCAGCGGGGCCGACTAGCAAGATTACGGAAGCTTGGCCCAGTGGGAGATTCCTCCATCCACACAGTTTAGTGTAGATGGAGGAATCTGTTGCACTTTTTCCATCTGACCATAGAAAATCTGCAGATAATTGTAAGGTGTATGGGCACCTTAAGAGTAACTTCATGGATGTTCCAGCCAGTGAAGTTCTGTGCATGCTAACGATTGCAAATTTCATAAGAAGACAATCCTGTGCAGTGCAGGTGTCTTCTTATGAGATTTGGGATCCTCTGAATTTCCAGGATCTCACCAGAAGGTCTGTGATATCACCCTGGTGTAGGCACTGTGAGAAGGTGTTAGGCAAGTGTGCGTACATATGCTTTTTTTTTTTTTTTTTTTTCTTCTCTCCAAAAGTATTTTTATGTTTGGTTCCTTGTGCAAAGCAGTTTTTGTTTTGTTTTTTTTTATTGGCAGGGGCAAAAACTGAGCCTTACCTTTTTTCTTGCATGAGTATCTTTTATTGAAACTGGGAAAAATCCTCCTAAAACTTGAACCAGCATATGCTGTTACCATTACTCGCAGCAGCTATGTATGCAGACCTCCCTTACAATCTGTACTGTGTCTTCACTGATTTTTTCCTACTTTCCAGTAAAGCAACCACGTATAGTTCTCTATGCCTTTCCCTCCTATAATCCTTGGCTCTAGTGTGCTCTTGCCCTTGACTCTATGCTCCCTCCACTTACTCCTACCTGCTACACATTCAGCCGGTGCACATGCTGAGGGACCTGAATCCCTTGCCTTCCCCTCTTGACAGGATGTTGACCTTCACTCACTAGACACAGTACAGGGGTTGCGAAGTCCTGCTTTCCAGCAGTGCACCTTTACATGTCTCACTGGGCTACTCTATGGTCAGATCCTAGTTTTCACATGTTGTTTACAATCAAAAATATTGTTGTTTTTCTGTATTCCTCTGTATACTCCCTTTTCTGTTGCATTGGCCTGTTCTATGTTTCTAATTCTTCTAATTTCTACCTGATTGTTCCAAACAGATTCAAGTGTGTCGTCTTCTGCACCATATGTGGAGATCATTGAACAGCCAAAACAGCGAGGTATGCGGTTCCGCTATAAGTGCGAGGGGCGTTCTGCAGGAAGCATTCCGGGAGAGCGAAGTACGGATACTACAAAAACTCATCCCACCATAAAGGTCTGTACATATACTCCCCTTAATTAAGTTTTTGATCGCTGGAAGATTAAACCAGAATACATTATTAGCTAGAATATTAAGCTCCAGCAGTTTGTCCATGTGCAGCCCTTGGGGTCCAGGCCTATGCTCTGTTCTGAGCCTCAAGCTTCTTCCAAGTTGGCACTGAGGCCTGGTTCTTCCTGGTGTGAAGCACCACCGCAGCCATTAAATTATATTCTTAAAAATAAGTCCATGCCAACTACAAAACCTTGACCTGAAAGGCTTCAGCGTCAATTTCAATATCATTATAACAGGTACTTCCCGAACCACAAGGTGCCTGCACTTCAGCACTATTTTTGGCAAATAGTATAGAAATGTTTTTATATATTTTGCCTGTAACAAATCTCTGAATTTTAACATTGAGCGCTACTGAGTGTAATATCCGGCAGCCGAGAGGGGGCAGTGAGAAGATTTTTGCAAGAAGCAGCAGCTGAAGCTATGGGCATACACATCAATGCATATATCTAATCTGTTTGATGCTGCATCAACCCCCCCAATATTTTTACTAAAATTCAGTTTTAAAAAGACCTGTCCCATGTCTCCATAAAGAGAACCTGTCACTGCACAGTACTATCACATAGGGGGCTTATCCGCCTCCTTGAGATAGTAACAGAGGATTATATGTGAGGTTAAAAAGAAATAAAACTGAGTAAAACCATTTGAGGAGTCCCCACCCCTGCGCAAGTAAATACAAATATGTGACTCTATGATGCACATGCTTTGTATAACGCATACTTTGTATTGTCCACACTGGAATGAAAGAAATAATTCTAGGGCCATCATTTACAGTCAACTCTAAACTGCTCGGCTATAAAGTGTTTAAGGCCTCATTCACACAGGGTAGAGTGAGGCTGTACAGCTCTGTGCTGCGTGCACGGCCATATCGGGCTGTTCCTGGGAAGGACAGGTGCTGCGTGTGATTGTACGCAGCAGCCTGTTCTTCCCTATCGGAGGACACGGCCGTACGTTGTCGTACGCCCAGCCGCGCTGCACATCCGCGCGGGTGTCCATGCTCGGACGCACACAGGAACCCATCCTGTCTGCGTCAGAGTACGGACACCTGCACCCTAACGGATGTGCAGCTTGGGTGAGCGTACGCTGCGTCCTCCCATGGGGAAGAACTAGGGATGCATCGATATATCGGCCGCCGAAACATATCGGCCGAAAATGGCACTTTTTGGCATGCATCCCTGATTTCTTTCCTCCTCGCTGGGTGCTGCTCTATGTCCCAGCGGGGAGAAGAGAAAGTGACAGCCGGCCAAGCGCTGCGGTGGAGAGCGCTGTGAGCGGCCAGCGTCTCCTCCCACACCGCTCTACCGCCTATCACAGTCCGGCAGAGCGTTGTGTGGCGGAGACAGTGCTGTCACAGGAGGCTGGGCTTCTCTCTGACACGCTGCCACAGGAGGCTGATCGAGCGGTGTAGAGAGGAAAGAGCTAGGTACACACACTCGGCGATCATTGATTGCTGAGTGTTTGTACATAATTGAGGACATGGTATGTTTACTAATATCCTCAATTATGAATGAATGGGAGTGATCTACATCACCCCCATTCATTCATAATTGTAGTTATAGGAAACAAACAATGTTCTCATGTTATCAATGAACAGGAACACTCATAGAGGATTCCTGCTCATTGATAACAGGGGACACAGAAAAAGAGATTGAGAAAACAAAGTCCTCCTATCTCTTTTTTTTTTTCTATTTTAAAAGGGAAATATCAGGGGTCTGTTTAGACCCCTAATATTTCCCCGAAGCCCCTAAAAAGTAAAGTAAAAAATATTTAATAAAAAATGAATGAATAAATAAAAATATAATATAAAAAAATAAATAAATAAAAATAAAATATTTGAAAAATGTGAAAGAATAAAAAAACATTTTCGGTTTCGGCCTGACATTGTTTTATTTTATTTCGGTTTCTTTCGGTTTTAAAATTTCCATTTCGGTGCACCTCTAGGAAGAACAGGCTGCTGTGTACAATCGCACGCAGCACCTGTCCTTCCCGGGAGCAGCCTGATATGGGCATGCACGGATCTGTACGGTCTTATTCTACCCTGTGGGAATGAGGCCTTAAAGCGCCGCTTATGGACAATATTGGGTAACATAGTTTGCCTCTGTTTTGACATGTTTAGTATCCATGTACTGTAAGCAATTTCATCTTTTTTTTTCTTACAAAAGAGATATTATTGTGTTTGCACTAAAATACATTTTAGTGTTTTTTCTGAAAATATAGGTTTGATAAGCAGTTTAAAAATGCATTTTGTTGTGAAAAAATGAATTGTTCAGGCAATGAAAAAGTTGAGGAAGGATAGAGAAATGTACACGTATTGCAGAGGTATATGTAATATAGAATTATTTAATAAGTTGAGTGCCTTTTTTTCTTTGTGCAGCAAGTGAAACCTGCTCAAAATATTTAGAAACTTGTAAAAATGCTAAAGCCAGAAAGGTCATTCGAATTACCTAAATAGGGCTTGCTCCAAATTCTATGAGAACTACTCTCAACACGGAATGTCCTGTGGGCTGGATCGGAAATACCTGGTCTGCATTTTCAAATGGGAGAGCAACTGGGGTATCCAAAACAGTATTCCCAAGAAGTAGATTGTGAACAATGAAGTGGCTGGGTGTGCTACAGTTGTTCCTCGGTGTTGAAAGAGGCCTGGTGGTAAAAAGGGGGGGGGGGGGGCTTTTGAGCTTTCAGTTGTGTGAAATATTAAATTCCCCTGCGTGGAAACTGACTTTTTTTTATTTGAACTGGCAAACATCGGGTCTTCATTCAAACAGTGAATAGCAAATCAAAATAATTAGCTTTGCTATCCACCCAATATCTAATTTCAAAATCTGTGAATGTGAAAATTGTTTTCCATATGCCCCATTTATGCCACAGCGATGGTGTGATGTGGGAAAACATTGTGCATTTTCCTGCAGCACACTGGAGGGCACCATAGGTCACCACAGCTCAGCACATTTAGCTGCTGTGAAGAAACTTGTTTGGAGCAGCACTTTGCCAGTAAAGGTAAAAGAAAAAACGCAAGGCATCACTACATATTGCTGCCACTCAGCTTGACACCAGCCCCACACTGAAACGGACTGGTTTAGCACATGACTGGAGTGAACCCAGCCTCAATGGTTGGAGAACAGTAAAAAATAACAATAATTTGTGTAAGGTGTATATAACAGGTTGCTATTGTGGTTTAACACATACATATGTATTCATATTTCAGGTAAACAATTACCAAGGACCAGCCCGTATAAGGATATCTTTGGTAACCAAGGATGCCCCCCATAAACCACACCCTCATGAACTGGTTGGAAAAGATTGCAAAGATGGCTATTATGAGGCTGACTTATCACCAGATCGCAATATTCACAGGTATATATATATAATAATGGCCTTTTGAAAAAATACGGTAGGTCCTGGAGGGGGAAAGTGCGTCTGTGTGTGTGCGCGCGTGTGTATGACATTATGACAAACTGCCTAATATTAAGTAGGTACCCCCTTTTGCTGCCAAAACAGCCCTAACCCATCGAGGCATGGTCTCCACTAGACCTCTGAGGTAAGCTGTGGTATCTGACACCAAGCTGTCAATAACATGTAATTTAAGCCCTGTAAGTTGGGAGGTGGGGCCTTCATGGATCAGACTTTTCCTGCACAGATGCTCGATTGGATTGAGCTCTGGAGAATTTAGAGGCCAAGTCAGCACCTCGAACCTGTTGTGTTCCTCAAACCATTCTTAAACCATTTTTGCAGTGTGGCCAAGTGCATTATCCTGCTGAAAGAGGCCACTGCCATCAGGGAATACATTTTCATGAAGGGGTGTACTTGTTCAGCAATAATGTTTAGGTAGGTGGGACATGTCAAAGTAAAATCCACATGAATGGCAGCACCCCAGGTTTCCCAGCAAAACATTGCCCAAAGCATCACACTGCCTCTGCTGGCTTGCCTTCTTCCCATAGTGCATCCTGGTGCCATCTCTTCTCCAGGGAAACGACACACACCACCATCCACATGATGTCAAAAAAATGTTCATTCATCAGACCAGGCCACCTTCTTCCATTGCTCCACAGTTCTGATGGTCACATGCCAAATGTAGGTGATTTTGGTGGTGGACACTGGTCAGCATGGGCACCCTAACTAGTCTGCAGCTATACCTAACAAATTGCGATGCACTGTGTGTTCAGACACCTTTCTCTCAGAACCAGCATTAACATTTTCAGCAGTTTGAGCTATAGTAACTCTTCTATTGGATTGGACTACACGATGCAGCTTTTGCTCCCCGCGTACATCAATGATCCTTGACTGCCCTTAACTCTGTGGCTGGTTTTCCTTCCGTGGACCACTTTTGGTAGACCCTGACCACTGCAGACTGGTAACATTCCACAAGAGCTGCAGTGTTGGAGTTGCTCTGACCCAGTCACCTAGGCATTACAAGTTGCTCAAATTCTTACACTTGTCTTTTTTTTCTGCTTCCAACACTTGCTGCCTAATATTTTTCACTCGCTACCAGTGGCTGATTTTTTTCATACATACATACATACATACATACATACATACATACATACATACATACATACATACATACATACATACATACGCCAGATTATTATGACCACCTGACGTTTGTAGGCAAATTAGCTATAATTTTGTGCTGAAATTGCTAGCGGGCCAGACCATTCTAAATAGGGAAGCAGGTTGTTTACCACTTGTCAGATTCCTCGCATCACCTTTCAACAGCTCGTGGAGTCATCTCGTGGCCCAACGAAGTACTGATGGGGTGGTCATAATAATCTGGCCACTCAGTGTATAGATCTGTCTGTCTATCGCTTCCTTCTTTCCTTGTACAAGGGCTAAAGTGGGGGCCGAAATCTACTTGTCCCGATACAAAAAAAATACTTTTGACCACAAATATCGGTATCCCCTGGATTTCCACTCGCCCCCACGCAATTTTCACTCGCCAATTGCGAGGGGGCGAGTGGAAATTTTGAGCCCTGCTCTATACCCTAGTTTGCTTTCGGTACTCGCTGATACAGAGTACCGATACTGGTGCTTCTGTTTGCATGGAGCAGGCTTCCCGAGCAGGGAAGCCGACTCCATGTTTGGCCGGCTTGGTTGTGGTTCGCCGGGAAACCGGCTTCCAAGCCCATCAGGAAGCCGAGCGCCAAGTAATTACCTGATTGGCCAGGAAGCCAACTCGATGCTGATTGGATGGGAAGCCGGCTTCCCAGCCAATTAGCAAGGAGCTGGCTTCCCAGCCAATCAGGAAACCGGGAGGCAGGTCATGACTCGCCGCCCCGCTCCCCGATTGCCTGGGAAGCCAGCTCCGTGTTCCCCCTATGGCACTGCTGGTCAGAGGAAATCTTCCTCTGACTGGAAGTTCCAGTATCGGGGAAGGTATCGGCACATTTGGCGAGTACAAGTGCTCGCCCAAATACTCTTATCGGTGCATCCCTAATCAAAACTGTATTTGACTGTGCTAAATAGCGCTTCTCATTAGTCAGCGTGATAGCAATTTGCGAGAGAAATGCAAAATACATAGGGCAGGTACGGGGTACAGATAGTACACCTGTACTGGCGGAGGTTAAGGACTGTTCGCCGAAAGGCAAGTATAGCCGGGGGGTGTAATGGGGGTAATTGGGAGAGACCGGGCCAGATTTGATCGGGTAATTCCATTTTCCCATACTACCTGGGAAAGTGAACTTACCCTTTAATGCACATTGTGCGTGTAAGAGTTTTGTTGCCTGGCTACCACAATATGGGACACAGTGGAATGGCGGCAGCACTCAGCGCACACACACAATGTCCTACGCGTGTGTTTATTTGCATGCAGATGGCTTGCATGCAGATACTTTTTTTTATAACTTTTTGTTTTTTTAATTTTAACTTAATGTTATTATTACATAGGGGCTTGCAAGCCCTTATGTGATAGTTTTGAGGTGACCGGTTCTCTTTATGGAACCTGCCCTCCAAGACAGAACAGATGTTCTACACAGTTCCTGACAGCTGAGACGGGTGGCGCTGTGATTACAGTGCCACGGTCTCAGTGATCACACAGAGCATACAAAGAACGGACGTTCGTCTGCTCTACAGGCTCTATGGTGAACTCCTGCTGTGGTCCCGGGTGCCCCAGAGGAACAGGGGACCCCGCAAACCACAGCGGGGGGAGGGCGGGCAAGATCGCTGTTGCTCATCAGATCACTTGTATAAAGATGGAGCACTGTCCATTTAGCTCTGCTTGTCCAAAGCAGGGCTAAATGTACAAAAAAAAAGCTACTCGCCCGGCGCCCAAAACTGCATGTCCCGGGCATCAGGTGATAGAATTCCACACCCCTGATATATACGTACACTATATTGCCAAAAGTATTGGGACACCCCTCCAAATCATTGGATTCAGGTGTTCTAATCATCTCCATTGCCACAGGTGTATAAAATCAAGCACCTAGGCATGCAGACGCTTCTACAAACATTTGTGAAAAGGTTCGCTCTCAGGAGGTCAGTGAATTCAAGCATTGTACCGTGATAGGTTGCCACCTGTGCAATAAGTCCCTCTGTGAAAGTGGAAGCAACTGGGAACAAAAGCAGCTCAGCCACGAAGTGGTAGGCCACATAAAATGACAGAGCGGGGTCAGCGCATGCTGAAGCGCACAGTACGCAGAAGTCGCCAACTGTCGGCAGTCAATAGCTACAGCTAATTTTATATATGTTCTTTTTAACCTTTTGATTTTTAAAACTAATTGTGCCCAGATAAATGTAATATTACAGCAAAAGGCATCAAATGCTAATTCCTTCAAAAAGTACTTTGTGTATTAAAATATGTGTAAACCAATATGAGGTACTTGTTTGATTTGTGGGCCCAAAACTCACCATTTTTTTCAGATTTATGCTGTGCTGCTTTTTCATGAGAAAATAAAGATGTATTTGTTATTTTTTTACACAAAGTGCATGTTTGAAGTCCTTGATGTCCATATGCTGCAATATGTTGTGGTTAATTCTGTGGATGCCGATGGATTAGTGATTGCACCTCAAGGCAATTTGAGACTGGGGTGCACTCTGCAAATCAGTGGACAGATATATTTTATATCTTGCAGTTTAGTATATGTTACACGACTATATGTTTTTTTGTATGGCAACTTGATTATGATTATCGGAACCTTTCAGACTTTCTTTTGGCTGTTTGTTTAAATACCCTTCCTGAGGTTTTGGTGGTGTTCTTTTTTTGTTTTTGTTTTTCCTTTTGAGGCAAAGTAACTGCTTTACTAATTTTCCTGCACCTCCAGACACCCAACAACAACAAAAAATCCAGGTTTCTGCATTCACACTAAAGAACGTGCACAAATCTTCCATTGCCAGCTATTGTATTCAGTGGTAACTGCTCCAGCAGCTGCAGAATACCCGGACAGTGCCTGCATCTGTTTTGGCGCAGGCACTGTTTGGCTGAAAATTATTGGACCAACTCATTTGACAAAACTTGATTAAAAAAGAACTTGCTAACATGTCCACCCACAGCTTCAGTTTCAGATGGCTCATCAGGAACTGGCTGAAATTCCATGTATGGCCAGTTCTAGTGTTATGGGTATCGGGGCAAAAGTTACACTTTTCTGCTAATGGTTAGTTTTGAAATGTATTAAAGGAAAAAGCTGTAGAATTTGAGTGACGTACTCTGAATAGAAATATAGATCTTGTGTACTTCACCTGCTGATGGAACAGTTTATATGTAAAACATATCTAAACCCAAGAGCAAAAATATATTATGTTCATTGTAATGTGAAGACAGGATATGTGTTCGGACTACAGAATCTCTCCTCATCTTATAACTTTGGGGGAGGTGTTCCGCAGTTCACAGCGCATTTGAAAGGCTGATAACATTGTCTGACATGTCAGCCCAGTGCACAGGAACGTACAAGGACACTAGATTTCTGGCAGGATGAATAGGTATTTTTCTATACTTGCAGAAAATGCACTTGGCCTGAAAATAGGAAAGTAATACAGCTGCCCCATCAAAGGAGTGATGAGCTGCTATATACAGTTGGGCAGAAAAGTATTTAGTCAGCCACCAATTGTGCAAGTTCTCCCACTTAAAAAGATGAGAGAGGCCTGTAATTGGCATCATAGGTAGACCTCAACTATAAGAGACAAAATGAGAAAACAAATCCAGACAAATCACATTGGCTGATTTGGAACAAATTTATTTGCAAATTATGGTGGAAAATAAGTATTTGGTCAATATCAAAAGGTAATCTCAATACTTTGTTATATATCCTTTTGTTGGCAATGACAGAGGTCAAACGTGTCCTGTACATCTTCACAAGGTTGGCACACACTGTTGCTGGTATGTTGGCCCATTCCTCCATGCAGGTCTCCTCTAGAGCAGTGATGTTTTGGGGCTGTCGCTGGGCAACACGGACTTTCAACTCCCCCCAAAGGTTTTCTATGGGGTTGAGATGTGGAGACTGGCAAGGCCACTCCAGGACCTTGAAATGCTTCTTACGAAGCCACTCCTTCGTTGCCCGGGCGGTATGTTTGGGATCATTGTCATGTTGAAAGACCCAGCCACGTTTCATAGGTCTACCTATGATGCAAATTACAGGCCTCTCATCTTTTTAAGTGGGAGAACTTGCACAATTGGTGGCTGACTAAATACTTTTTTGCCCGACTGTATTTCTTTTTTGTTTTGTATGAATGGTATATTACAGGTTTGGCATCTGTTACAGTGATCTTTTCTCTGCATGGTAGAAACTACCCCTGAAAGTAGAAGAGTAGCTATTTCTAGGGCAAATATTTTGCTAAATTAACAAATCATCCCATTAATCATCATGCTCTGGTACATGAGTGATAACTGTACAGAGTAGTTCTTGGTCCACTATCCATGACCCAAGCTGCAAGAGCAAGTTTCAGAGCTAAGATTGTGCACAGAAGCAGTTAAAATGAAGGAAAAATGTTTAACACACACCTACTTACTGGGAGCACAAGAACATAAAAGGATTATTTGAGTTTATAAAAAAAAAAAAAAATGTCTACATGTACAGAAATGCCAATGTCTTCCAGAAAGGGTATGGTCTGTTAATGGTTATGTAAGCTGAGATATTGGCAAGCTTTGTTTATAATACTGACCTGGTGGAAAGTTGGGTAATCTCAGTAAAACCTGATAAAGAATAGTAACGTGTGTGTGTGTGTGTATTTAAATTACACATAAAGTGTGTATAATATTTTTTAATTTTTCTTTAAGTTTCCAGAATTTGGGCATTCAGTGTGTCAAAAAAAGAGAAGTTGAGGATGCTATTGCCCAGCGAATACGGACAAATAACAATCCCTTCAATGGTAAATCATGTTAATATCTTTGACTATAAATCTTCTGTCTGTGTACGCGTCACAAAACTTGCAGCTGATGTACAATTTTGTATTGTAGACTTTATTAAATGTCATGTATTTTGTATGTATTGGGAACTCCAAAGATAGTTCTCTTTACTGGAATTACCCCTTGCAACCATTTGCCTTGGCCCTAACAAAGCTAGTTTGTGGTACCACACTATGCTGATGGATATGTCGTAAAGTAAACTTAGTATCACATATACAATTTTTTAAAACAAAAGAAGGGATGGAGAAAGATGGGGTTTTTTGGTGGCTTCAGAAAGAACAAGTCCAATAAACTTCAGCCTCATAGGTATATAAAATATATAAATTTATTGAACAAATATATAATTTAAAAAAAAAGCATTAGGTATGCATGAAAATATAAAAAAGACGTATACCTCGGAGGAAAATACCTCCCATCACCCCCTATACACCACAATCGAGGTTTGCCTAAATGGTCATGAATCTATACATGTGAAATACAGCATCATAGGCAACTCAAAAGAGACAGGTATTGATTATATTGGTGAACCTCGTGGGGGTGATAAATTGCTTGCAATGCTATAGGGGCACTGCTTGTGGGCTCAACACGTTTCGCGCCAAGGGGCGCTTCATCAGGAGCGGAGGGAGGTAGTCCCTTCAGTGTCTGGTCAACAAGTGCTTGGCACTGGCATATAACGGACCAAGGGCATGTGGGCCCAGGGTGGAGGAAGATGGAATGGGCACAGCCAAACAGGGCCTGGACGAGAATGGAGTTAAAGGAGTGTCCAGTGGTGAAGAGGGATCCAGTGAAATGGAAGGTCCAGGGCAGCTGGGGGGTACGGTCCTCCACCTGAAACTACCGATGTTTTTGGGGCCGTTGCCAACCCTGCACTACAATTTTAAAGCTGAAGTAAACAACCAACCAAAAACAAATACACCGCTCACATCCACCTCCACAGCCTGAGGATCTCATCTGCTTTTGTCAGGTGATGGTGTTCTATCAAATGTTGTGACTACGTTGAAATGCTTGGCCTAATGGGCGGTCACACATTCCACCGCTGTCAAACTGGGCGGGATTACGTTGGAATGTGTGAAGACCACACATTTTAGTATGTATATTTTGTCATTGGTTGTAGTAAACGTGACAAGCGGAAGGCATGGATGCCTTAAACATGTTTAAGTGTTTGTTAACCTCTTGCCGTCCGCCCGTTAAGAAAAAACGGGCGGACTCGCATCAGTGGGTTGCCGTCGCCAGACGGCATTTTTTCCTGCTTGCGTATATTATATGTAATAGCAATTTGGTAATAATAAATGTTTTAGAATTTAATATAGGGGGAACTGTTTTTTTTTTAATCTGTAGTTTTTCCTTAATATATTAAAAAATAAAAACCCCAGTAGTGATTTAAATACCACCAAAATAAAGCTCTGTGTCCCCAAAAAAGGGTATAAAATTAATTTCAGTACAGCGCTGCATGACTGAATAAATGTCAGTCAAAGTACCGCAGCGCTGAATACTGAAAAATGGCCTGGATGGGAAGGGGGTTTAACACCCCGGATGTCAACTGGTTAATGAAGAAGGAAAGTGCATAGGGAGTTCTAGGTCTTAACTACATCGACGTCGGTTGAAATGATTGTGTATGTATATATGTGTGTGATGAATATGTTAATAATCTTACATGTGTTTATTGTTTTGTTTGCAGTACCTGTAGAAGATCTCAAGTCTGACTTTGACCTGAATACAGTGTGCCTTTGCTTCCAAATTTGCATACGTGACCCAACTAGAGGCCTTCTCCCTTTTCCATTAGTTGTGTCTCATCCTATATATGACAACCGTAAGCTTGGTCCTAAAATAAACATTATTAATACAAATAATACTAATGGCATATTTATTACTAAGTCTCTATTGCAAAATGCAAGCATTTTAGGCACAGATTTTTTTATGTATTTTTTGTTTTTTATTGCTCAATAGGGGGCACAGGATTAGTAGTTATTCTGATATCAGAAAAGTTAGCAAGCCAGCTAAAATATCTGCTACTCCCTGCATGCTTCAGTTTTTTGCTATTGTCCTAGAAGGATGGTGTGTTCTATTAACCTGTTCCTGTTAAACAGCATCCCAGGCACAAGCAAAGTAGTCCCACAGAATCAGGTTGTGTCATCTCACGATCCACTAAAATTTCCATAGTGGCCGTCCTGACATAGCCTTGCTCTTTGTCCCCTGCTTGGAATAACTCACCCCTCATAGCTCTAAAGTCTTCATAGCCTTTAGGGAGTGATCCTCTCCGTGGCCTTTATCCAGGGTGGGGTTTTCTTCCGTTATGATAGATTTTATGGGCCAAATTGCAACTTTGCTGACTCTGAACGTAGAAGGCTGTAAACGTAGTTCTACACCTTCGTCTCCCTAATGTCTGACGTTCCTGCAGGTTTAGCAGGGTCTGGGCTGTATTGTCTGATGAAGGGTTTCACAGGTCCATGTTAGACGAGTTTATGCCTGAGGAGCCTCAATTAGCGGAAATACCCCCAAGCTAAAAGATACTATATTTGCTCTTATGGATGCTGTGCGAGTTAAATTTAAAATGGAACAGCTAATAACTTTCTATTAGTATTTGAAGACACAAGGAGATCTCACCACTCCAATTCTCCGGCAACAGTCGTGTTCTGGAGACTCCAATGGTGCTAGTCAAACGTGCGTTCACACCTGCAACCGCTTTAGTGTCCAAACAGACCTCAACCCACGGATCTCCAATAAGAATTTAAGCTTTATTAAAATCCACAATGAAATGTCTGAATATGCACCAACACCGCGAGCCCCCAATACACCAAAATCCTATAATGCATTTCACTGATAGACTAATTCAATAGGCTTAATCAAATAGTATTTCGGGTCCTGGGGGTTTGAGGTGTTGGTATATCGTGACATTTCATTGTGGTTTTTAATGAAGTTTCTATTAGTGTTGTTACCAGTGTAGGGTCCCCAAAAGGTCCCATGACTGTCAAAACAGTCTGGTGCATTCTTTACTACAATCTGTATGGTTGACTGGTCAACTTTTGGCAAACTATTTACTCCTCCCAAACGCTTCTAGGACCAATACACATTTGATGAGGATTTTCCTAAGAAGTGTGCTGTCCCCTACTCTGGATTGGACAATATTTCACTTTAACAAACTATTGAGGATGCTCCAGTGCTTAAAGTGACATTAAACCCTCAGATATTTTAACCTAAAACAATACTGTAATTTGTGCCTTACTGTAATCCATGGTTGTTTCCCTTCTCTTTGCTGCTCTTCCTTTTTAAATCTGTATCTGTTCTCATGCTGGGCAGAACTTCTGTTTTGCAGCAGACTGCCTTGTCTCTGGAATGGATACATGGTGTCTGTGTGTAGGTTTGCAACCTGAGCCAGCACTACAGGAAGAGGCACTCAGCTGCAAAGGGAAGTTCTCCCCCAGCATGAGAAGACATGAGGATTTAAAAGGAAGAGCAGCAAAGAGAAGGGAAATTACCACGGATTACAGTAAGGCACACATTATTGGTTTATGTTAAAAAAAATCTGAGGGTTTAATGTCACTTTAAGGATCCCACTGATTAACTTTTGGAAACCCTTACCAATCTCTATTTTGTTAGTAGGCCCGCTATGAAACCTAGAAGCCCTGTCATGCGTAAGGTAGTTTTGGCCTTTTGCTTCAGTACATCATTTCCTCAGTACATCATTTCCTCAGTACATCATTTCCTATCATTGTCTTCTCTCTGTCATTTCCTGGCTGGCCAACAGCTTGGTTTTCCAGTGTCCAGATCCTCCTGTAGGTGACAGTGTAATCCAATAGTATAGGAATAACTACTGATCCGGTGCCCCTTAACCCTTTCGCTGCTACGGACGTAAGAACTACGTCTGGCAGTAGGGAGCTGTAAACACACTCCTGGCTGCTAACGTAAAGCTGATAAATGTATTATCCTATTGCAGAGATTTTACAATTTAGGCAATGGCAACAACGTTTATTCATGGTATGTGCACTGAAATACTTTTTAGGCTGCATAACTGCTGTGGGTTCTGTAGTGATGACCATGGGGGCCTGAGATTTCTGCCTGTCCATTTTTACTTTTCAGTGGGTGCTAATAATCAGAAAAAAATTAAATATGTAAACTTTTAAAGGAATTTAAATGTAATGACATTTACTTTGATATCTTTGTTTTTTTGAATTTAGCCAGTCCTGTAGTAATCGGCATATTGATGATCTCCAGAAACCAGTTTTGTTTTGTTTTTTCCAAGATAACTCAATTTATCTTTATATTTAAGCCTTATTTAATGCACATTTTAATGGAAATTATAGCCTCTTTTGATGCACTTTTTTTGATGCACTTTTTTTAACGCTTACAATCTTTATAAAAATCCTTTTTATGCTTTGTACAAAATCCTTATTTAACAAACTTTTTTATGAAAGGGTTTTGTTTTTTTGGCAGCTTCTGTGGTATATGGTCAGAAACACTGCTGCAGTGTTCTTGCCTTTGGGCTCATGAAGAGATATTCAACCTTTTGCGCCAGCTGTCAGAATGCGGAACTGATGTATATGACATCACTTCCGCATTCTTGTGTCACTCTCCAGCTTCAGATGCTGGAGAGAAGTTGATGAAGCAGATCTCTGCTTCTTCAGGGGGGTCCTAGGTGACATTAGGGGTCTTGGAGGGCCCCCTGATGTCTCCATAAAGAGGACCTGTCGCATATTTTGCTATCACATAGAGGGGTTTCTTAGCCTCCTATTTGATAGCAATAAAGTTAAGTGAAAAAAAAACAAACTAGGAAAAAATTAGTCACACATAAAAAAGAATTTAATAAAACAAAAAAATTTTTAAAAGCCCCCACCCATACATACACGCATGCAAACATGCGTCAGGTGCGCATACTTGCGAAAACGATGATTGCGCCCGTTACGCCGCACATGTTGCATATCGCCGTGAACGTCGCAGTGAGAGCGCTAATTTTAGGGCCATCAATCACTGATAACACTAAACTGATGAGCGGTAAAAGCTTTTAAAGCGTCACCTATGGCCAATTTTGGGTTTTGTAGTTTTTTTTGCGATTTCGCGGGTGCGCGCAATTTTTAAGCATGACATGTTTGGTGTCTATTTACCCGACGTGGCCCCGTCTTTTATATTTTACCAAAAAATTGGGTAATATTGTTTCCTAACATAATTTAAACACTTTTTTTTTCCACCCAGAATTTTCAGTAAATTTTCTGAAATATAGAAAAAAAATAAAACCCGCAGTGGTGATTAAATACCACAAAAAGAAAGCTCCATCTGTCCCCAAAAAATGGTATAAAATTAATTTCAGTACATCGTTGCATGACGGAATAAATGTCAAAGTACTGCAGCGCTGAATATTGAAAAATGGCCTGGCCAGGAAGGGGGTCTAAACACCTTGTCTTGAAGTGGTTAAGTTAAATATAATGCCCCAAAACACAATATAAAACCATTTTTTTTGTAAAATATAAAAGATGAGGTTACAATGAGTAAATGAATACCCAACATGACCAGGTTAAAAATTGTGTGCGTCTGTGAAACTGCGACAGAATTCAGTACCCCAAAAAGTCCGTACACAACGCTTTAAAAGCCCCCACGGGTGATCAGTTTAGAGATGCGTGTAAATATTGGCCCTAGATTTGTTGCTCTCACTCTTGCGTGCTGGGCGATACCCAACGTGTTGCAGAATCGTTGTTTTTTTGTACGTAGGCGCACCCGACGCGTGTTTACCTGACAAGTTTTTATTTATACATTTAATTTATTTAATATTTTTTAAACTTTTGTTTTTTTTAAACTTTAATTGCTATCACGTAGGGGGGCTTACAAGCCCCCCATGTGATAGCATAATGGCAGTGACGGGTTTAAGGTGATGCTGGGGGTTTAAAAGAACCCCAGTGTCACCTTTACACTTGAAATAAGCTATGGAAGTGCAGATCCTACTTCAGTAGCTTATAGCTGGGCTTCAGGAGCCCAGCAATGACAGCTATGGGACCGGAAGTGATGCAATACGAGTCGCTCCCATAGTATGGGGCGGGGGAATCAACGAATGGATGTTCGCTGCTCTCCTCCCCAGCTTCCCACCAACATCCGGCAAGCTGATCCTGGGCCCGTAGGTGGGGCAGCGGAGCCCAGAAAACAAGGCGGCCCAATTACCGGATCTTAGAAGCGATCTGGCGGCAGCTGAGCCGCCAGAACGATTCTACTCTAAAGCCAGTCGCCGGCTCTACAAAACGGAACAGACTTCCGGCGGCTTTTAGCTTTAGATTATCCCGTCATGGGTCGTGAAGGGATTGAGCACTATTGCCTTGTATTTAATATACAATATTTGAAGAGCGGAGACCAGAAGTAGGGCTTGTGTACATTGCCATTTGATCAATCAGAACTCCTTTTCTTCCCATACAAGTCAATAAGAATGCAAAACCAGATTAAAGAGGAAATTTACCCATCTCTTGAAAATAACACCAACAATAAAACACCTTTTAGAAATATTTAGTTAGGACAATCTGTTTTAACTAAGGGCAGGCTACTAGATCTTAGTTTACTTCCTGGAATTCTGGTACATGTGACTAGGACATGTGACCATGCACATCATCTAAGGGGAGGAAAATGCCTTTCCCTGAGATCTTGTGATATTACAGATGAGATTTCCCAACAATGCTCTGCTGATGTAACCTTCCCAGGATGCAATGCTTGAGCACAATTTCATTATCCTGCTCTACATTTTGTCCCTGCTGCTTTCCTACAGCAGGGCTAAATGTACAGCAACAAACACCTGCCCCGCGCCCGTAACTGCATGTCCAAGGCGGGGGGTGTTAGGAAATTCCTGAACGCGTGCACTGCGAGTCATTTTTGTCCATATGTGTGCCCGACATATGTGGGAGCAGGGGGCTTTAAAACAAAATTGAGGTGTTTTTTTTTTTTTATCCTTTTTGTTAAACTTTTTTTTTTTCCTGAACTTACTTGCTATCACAAGGGGGCTAATGAGCCTCCCTATGTGATGGCATAGTGAAGGTGACGGGTTCTTTTTAGGGAGCCGCCAAGGGTAAATAAGACTCCTAATGTCATCTCTGCAATCCATTGACGCTGATCAAGTGATCGGAAGCCTGTTCTACAAGAGAGTTGGCAGAAAAAAAATATGTACAGCACCTGGGAGTTTATTCACATGCTGCCGCTGACAAAAGGGTTAAAGACAGACGCACTTCACTTCATTGGCATTGGTTAAACGGTTGAACAAAATTAAATATTTTAGCATCCCCTGAATATTTGTACAAGAGGATAGTTCATTTTTTGCAATCTTTGTTTTCTTTTTTTGTGACGACGTTCTTTTGTTTTTACGTTTATTTAGGTGCTCCTAACACTGCTGAGCTGAAGATTTGCCGAGTTAACAAGAATTCTGGTACCTGTTTAGGAGGAGATGAAATTTTCTTACTTTGTGATAAAGTGCAAAAAGGTAAACACTATTCAGTGATTGACTGCAGAACTGTGCTGCAAAATCTGTGTATATAACATTGGTATATCACTTAAAGTGACTGTCACTATAGTAAAAAAATAATAAAACCAGAGCCACCCTGTAGAAAAATGAAACAAAATATTACTTAACATTCAAACGTGCAGTGAGTTAAAACTGCTTTTTTCAAGAGCAATGAATACTGCTGCTGTGACATTTCTGGGTCAGTGGTTCAGCCGAGCTGAACACATCACCTGCTGGAAAGGTATTAAACTACTTCTGTTACGGGGTGGCTCTGGTTTATTTTTTTATTTTATTTTTTGCTTTGCTGACAGGGTAATTTTAATATTAGTCTGTTACGTTTTTATGGCAGAAGTGACTTCACAAGTCTGCAGTGTGGTGCTTTCCAGACCTATGTGTACTGTGAAAATCGCGAAGGCCTCTCCAGGTCCTAAGCCATGGCAGAGCTTCAGGTGTGACCCTGTCTCTGATGACTCACTTTGCGAGTATGCTGTGCAGGCTGAGCATCGGTAGCTTCCTAGTTATTCGGATCGGTGGGTGCCATCACAAGTCTCCTCAGAGCTGAGTGTGTACTCGTTCATGAGGAAGGGGGAGGGGTCAGCAGAGTAGAGAGGAATCTGCTGATTGCAGTTTACAGATAACCACCCCGACCCTCAGAGAGATGGATTGAAGATCCTGTGGAGAGAATTTTGAATTGTTAGGACTCTGGCCTGTGAAAGAGTCCAATAAAAAAAGTATGAAAAGCAGCCCTGTGACTCCTGACAATGCGCACACACATACATCATTTTTAGTAAATGATTTGTGTTA